GAAATTGAGAAAAGAAGCCAATGATTATTTTCATACGTCTTATTGTTCCGACTTTCGATACGAAAGTAACGGAATATTTGTGCTCGGGGTGGGTTTTTTTTTCTTCAGACAAATTTCGACTTTTTAACTAGCCATTTTCGACGGAATTTTTTTATGTCATTCGAAAGCTATTGTTGTCTTGAGCTCGAATTTGAAAAGATATTTCACCTGTGATCATTTTTCGTAAAGTTATTGAGTTTAAAGATTGCCATTTAGGGACAATTAACGCGCCATATAATTCGCGCTATTAACGCGTAAGCGGAGATTTAATCCGTCTTAGAAATCGTTCCAAATTGGTTGAACGAAGCTTATTTGCCATAATTGATTTGTTACAAGGAACGAAATCTCTCTTTTTGTACTTAAATGGCGTGTGGGGGGATGATTTTTATAAAAAAATTTCAAATTTTAGAAAAAAAAATTTCATTTTATTTTATTTCATTTAAATTTTTTATGTTATTACTGCTGCTCCATAAACCCTAAAAGGCAGTCGGAACATTCAGGGCTTTGCCCTGATACGAGCAGCCTTGTTTTAATATAAATTGATAGTTGGGCCTTCAAACAATAGCATACCCAATGAAGACAGTGCAAATAGGATGATGATTTTACACTCACGTCGTATGACGGTTGAGAGGGTAGACCTAGCCCTGTCCACCGCAATCAGCACGTGGGTGTTGAGAGAATTCAGACCAACGAACATCAACACCACCGACTCACTGAAATCACAAACAGAACAATCATTTCCAGTCCCCTCTTTAATTTTTTCTAAAAACCATTTGATTAAAATCTATTTAAAATGAGTTTTCATGTTTCTCAACGAGTCATGACTCGTACTGCTTAGGTTTTATAAGATCAATTGCTTTTTGAGAAGGAGGTACAAGGGTGGGGGAGGGTGGGCACTACTTTTTCTCAATTCTCACTGCCAAATTCCTCCATAATGGCCCCTTCCTTTGATACTATTTTACGACATCCATTTTTGACAAAAGAATCATACATTTTTTCTAAGAGCACCTTTGCCACCCATATCCTTACTTTTAAATAACAGCGCGCGCAGATAAAGCTTTTTGGAAAAAACTTTTAAGGGACACTCGGAACCAGGTTTTGCCATATGAGCAGTGTTGTCTTGTTTGGTCCAGTTTATGAGCCATTTTTTATTCGTTAAGTTAATTATGTTTGAGTGTGGTTTTTTCTTCATCCAATTTCGACGTAACAACTAAATGTTTCTTACGAAGTTTTTTGATCTGACTTTTTTGAAGAAATTGCGGAATATTTATGCTTGGGTGGTTTTTTATTCATTAAATTTTCGACTTTGTAACTAAGCGCTTTGACAATTTTTTTTCTTGCCAACTGGAAGATATTGTTGTCTAGAGCTTTAATTTAGAGAAACATTTCACCTGTGATCAACTTTCAGAAGTCAGAGGCGTTTCAAAATTGCTTACTTGGGTAATTTGGGATAATTAACGCGGGTTAAGTTGCGTTCTTTTAACACGCGTAAGCAGCAAATTATTGCATTCCAAATTGAATTGGGCCAGCAGTTTAGTCATGTTTAATCAATTAGTGACGCTAAACACTCCTTTTGTAATTTACATAGCGTGTGGGGGGGATAAATTGAAGAAAAAATGAACAATAATTTCTTTCTTTTTTTTTTCGATTGTTTCGTCAATTATTCAATCAAAATTTTTTAATTGACTCTAAAATGCAGTCAGAACTTTCAAGGCTTCGTCCTCATATATAAGCAGTCTTGCTTAAAACTGATTTTCTTTTATAAGAAAAAAATGGGTTTGAAGTTTGTCAATTAAAAAAATGCGCTTTCTTCGCCAGTTTTCTATAAACGCGTAGTGTGTAGTGTGTGTAGCGACTTAAATCTATCCAAATTGAGGCTGTTTAGTTGTTCCTAATATGTCGTTCTTAGGTGAGAAGTAGGATCTTTCGTATATCAAAGCCCTAAATATTCTGACTGCCCTCTATTGTCAATAAAAAGCTTTTTGGGTTTAAAAGAAAATTTAAAAAAAGGTTAAAAAATGAAAAAAAAGTATACATTTTTCCATGATTTTATTTTTAAATTCCTGTTTGATTTATTAAACAGGTATTTTGAGAACGTTTTTTTTTCCAGATGAGATCTGGTTTTTTTTTTTTTTTTATTTTTTTTTTTTTTGAGACGCTTTTTCGAAAAATTCGCTTTCCCAAAAAACTACCCGTCAGATTCTCATAAAAGTGGTACCAATGGATTCAGTAGCGTTTCACCTACCTGCCTGCATAAATTTTGGGGCAATTTTTACCCTACCCCACCCCCTACGGTCTTAGAAAAGCTTCACAACTCGGTACTTTTTTCACTTTTTGCCCATTTTTTCGGACATTTTCGATTTCCTCAAAAACTACCCGCCCAGATTTGGGATTAAGGGTTTAATCGATAAACCAGGTTGTAGGAAACTCCCATGCACAAGCGGCTGGTCCCTAATTGGCTTAAGGGAAGAGCTATAGACTTAGGAAAAGTCACTTTTTTGATTTTTTTTGCCTATTTTTTCGGAAATTATCGATTTCCTCAAAAACTACCCATCCAGATTTGGAATTAAGGGTTTAATCGATAGACCAAGTTGTAGGAAACTCCCCCGCACAAGCGGCTGGTCCTTAACTTGCCTAGGGGAAGAGCTATAGACTTAGGAAAAGTCACTTTTTTGACTTTTTTGGCCTTTTTTCAAATCTTTCCGATTTCCTCAAAAACTACCCGTCCAGATTTGGGATTAAGGGTTTAATCGATAGACCAGGTTGTAGGAACCCCCCCTACACAAACGGCTCGTCCCTATTTTGTCTAGGGGAAGAGCTATACACTTAGGAATAGTCAATTTTTTGGTTCTTAGGCCATTTTTTCAAACTTTTTCGATTTCTTCAAAAACTACCCATCCAGATTTGGGATTAAGGGTTTAATCGATAGACCAGGTTGTAAGAAACTCCCCTGCCCGAGCGGCTGGTCCTTAATTTGTCTCGGGGAAGAGCTGTACACTTAGGAAATGTTTTTTAAAAAGTTTTTTGGCATTGGAACAAAGATTCAATATACTTATTGTGTGTATTTTTTAGACAATGGAATCCGCTATGCTTACGTTTTCTCGCTTCTGCTTGGTGCTATTGGCTTTGTGTTGAGTTTTTTTGTATGGTTCGAAGAAGTCCAACGAGAAGTTGCACGAGTTACGCTGGTTCTCTTTAATCAGGTCGGTTTGTTCCACAGAAAGTTTTTGTGATGTCAGTTATAGTCAACATATTATAGTCATATTTGCAATGCTTGGACAAAATTTAATTAATTCGAAAATTAAAGAGTCGTTAGAAAAATGAAAAATACTTTATTTCATTAATGTTAGCTGGTTTGTGAAACACACATTTCACTTAATTCTAGTGAATAATTATTCACATTGTTGAAGCATTGTGCATATGAATTTATTTTAAATATATTTAGCATGTAACCATGATTGATACGGTTTGCCTTGTCGCACTGTGAAAGGCCCGTTTAATTCACATTACGGTTGCCTTGTCGCACTGTGAAAGGCTCGTTTAATTTTAGTACGGTTTGTCTTGTCGCACTGTGAAAGGCTCGGTTTGTAAAGACATATTCAGTTTGTTGTTTTTCTCTACATCAGGTACATTCCTCACCGAATCCTGAGTGATCTCAATCTTCGAAGGAAGATTTCAAAGTTTCCATGATTTTTAAATTATTTACGTTATGTTAATCATTGATGGTAATGAATAGATTTGTAAAGACATATTCAGTTTGTTGTTTTTCTCTAGATCAGGTACATTCCTCACCAAATCCTGAGTGATTTCAATTTTTCTCTACATTGATAACATCATGAAAGTATCTGTTCTATGAAGTATTTGTTCTGTTCGATGAATCCCAAATTTCACTTAAGGCTCACTTAAGTATCATTGATGGTCATGTGCTTTTTGCAGCTTTTTTCCAGTATGTTTGGATAGTGTTTAATGCCTTACGGCCAGTAACTTCCACTTCCGAATTGATTCTATCGTGAGTTTGTTTGATCAACAACGACACAGAAACACCTTTTTCTTCTGGGATTTACGTCGCAGGTGCTTTCTTGAATTCCACCATGTTGTCTTTGCCAGCAAGCATACCCGCTAGGGGCCCTTCTCACAACTGGGAAATTTCCGCTAATTATATGACTGATCAGAAACTTTCAGACTTTGAGCGTTGCATTTGTGAGAAGGGTGGGGAGCAAAGTGCATCCGGGTCCTCGTCTCGCTCCCTGGGCAGAATTGTATAACAATTCTGGCAGAGTGATGCACACAATTACCTTGCTACATTAGTTTACAAAACTCATCCGAAATCAATCTGCGATTTCGCTAACCTTACACCCCCCACCCACATTTTTTCAAACTCGTTTTTTCAATAAAACAAAAAGCGCTAGCTAATTCGATTTCATCAAAATTTGTATAACGTTTTTTCTGAAATAACCAAACAGGTCTCTCCAGCTTCCAGCTGGGCCCCTATTGTCTAGGGAAACACCTATGGACTTGAAAAGTTCCCTCATGAAAACTTTTTACCAAAGCGTTACCAATGAATGCATAAGCTTCTCTTTCACTTTTTTGCGTAGGAAGGGCGCTATCGACTTGAGAAACCTGAAATTTTAAAACAATTTTAAAATAATCAATATTAAAATAATCAAACAGGTCTCTCCAGTTTTCAGCTGGGCCCCTAGTTTTACCCCCCGTGAAGCATTTTGAGAAAAATTTCACCTGTGATCAATTTTCAGAAGTCAGAGGCGTTTCAAAACGTGACATAATTTTTTGCGCGTTAACGTTTTAATAAGAGCAAACTGATGGCTTCAATTCAAGGTGGAAGGATTTAATTAGCAGCTTATGCTTTAAAAGAAAGTATGCAAAAAAAACTCATTTCCTTAGCTGGAATATAACTGAGTAAAAAATCACCCAAAGTATAAATATTTCGCAATTTCTTCGTATGCTTCTAAGGAAATGAGTACTTTTTTGTATACTTTCTTAAAATTACGACTGTGTTTTTAAGGGTCGCTCGGAACAATCCGGCAATTGTTCTGATTCGAATGTTCTAGTCAAATTAAAATAATTTTCGTTGATTGCCTCGAATAATTTGCGTAAATAAATTTCCAAAAAACTGAAAACACTTTAGTTTTTTCTTTTAGATTTTTTTTCTAAAACTATCTACACATACGCTATGTAAAGGTACAAAGTGATATGTTTTCCATACCGCAAGGTATAAAGTAGAGCAAATAGAATGCTTCAATTCAAATTTGAACAATTTGTAGATCGAATAATATCTCCGTTAATGCGGTAATCGCACATTAATAATCCCAAAGTCATTAAAGCCCCGTAACTTATCAAAAAAAAGGTCTCAGGTGAAAAATCTTTTATAATTTTTACCAAGTATAACACTTCTTTTGGGGTGAAATTCTGTTAAGAATAGCTAGTTGAAAATTTAAAAACCAATACTGAACACCAAAATTCCGTCACATTCTTCGAATGTCGGAATATTGCTTAAATGGAGGGCATAGGGTTCTTTTAATTTAACTGTTTTTTTATTCTAAAAAAACTGGCTACCGAAATCAGCGTCTGGACACTTGAAGCAAGGCTTCCTGAAGTTCATTCAGCTTCCGTTTTAGCTCGATAAAAAAGATTCGGATACGTTTTACTGTAACAATAAACATGTCACTATTTTCCACTCATTTCCATTTTTAATGTGTTATCCGCCAACCCTGGAGAATAAATATTTCGATTGAAACACAAAAAAAGTAATGCATTTGTTTCATATTTTTTTGACACAAAAATTTTTAATACGAATTTAAGGGTTAAAAAACTGCTCAAAATTAAATTACCAAAATTAAATTGAACAGTTTATATGAAGATACATGCAGTGTTCTTTAATCGATTTTTTAAATGTGCTCTATGTGGTTGTTTTCCAGAAAAATTTGATTATATAGATAACCGTTTTTGAATTTTGAATTGCATTTTTGAAATATGCTGGCCCTCAGATTAAAGTTCAAAAACTTCATCATCGAAATTTTTCAAATCAAATTTTCGTAGAAAGTAAAACTGTTGAAAAAGAAATATACAGTTTCGAAAACGAGAAAAATATAAATATATAAATATGAAAAACATTTTTGAATGAAAAACTTTGGCGGCTAAATTAATGTTATTATTTAATCTTAGAATAACGATATCTTAAACATGTTAAACCCAAAAATTTAATTGTTTGATTTTGTCCTGATGAGCTCGAAGTTTGAAAGAACTAGAAGAGAGTGAATACTTCTTTATTCAATTGATAGTTCTGAAGAAGAAGCATGTTTGTCCCCGGCACTGGCGCAAAATTCATCAAAAAAAAAACATTTTCAAAATTCTTGTCGGAAACCGTCTTTGTCCTAGAATAGTATTGTTCTAATCAAAAAAAGTTGGTGAATTGCCAAAAGAGGTTGAGCTAGAATTATCTCAAGAAAAAAGCTGATTTTTAAACACTTTTGCAAATTCTGAGGATAGAATTGTGTTTATACGTCGACTAAATTGATTTTCCGTTTTCTTTCAAAGTTATTAGAAAAACTATTTAGCTGAAAAAACATGCTGAATTTTCGGTTTTTGAACCTTTTTGGAAAATGTCCAGCAAAAATTGTAGTTTTTCGTTATACGTCTTTGCTCCAAAGTCAGTACATTTTGCATTTAGAAACGCCTTTAAAACTGGTCAACGACAAATGGATGTTGTTAAACAATGTGAAAGGGGTTGAGTGATCAGAGTCTCAAATCTAAAGGGCAGCGGAAGAAACAATGTCTGCAGGAAAAATTTGAGTATCAGAAGATGGTGAAAAATTGTTTAAATTAACTAACTTTCTCATTTTTTGACAATTTTTTGCACTATCTAAAATATAGCGCTACCCTGAGTTCAAATATAAGCAAAGACTTGAGTTGAGACCATTCTTCTTGGCGTGATGAGCGTTAGAAATTTGCCAATTTAGCCAACTTGGGATAATTATTGTGTATTTATCCTACCTATTTTTTTGAACCGCAGGCGGTGAATTAATGAGATTAAAATTCTTTCCAAAGCGAATTAAAGCAAGTTAATTAGTTTAGATAGCGCGTTAACGAACAACAAACGTTGTTATTCATTCTTCATTTAGCATGTGGTAGAAAAATTCTTCGTTTAGCATGTGGTGCAAAAAAAAACAATCAAAATTTGTCCATTTTTCGAAAAACGGATCGTTTTTTTTGCAAAAAAACTAGAATACATTTGTTTATTCTCCCTGTGATTTTTTATCTTCATATCTCCACTATCTTCATTTGTAAAAAATTGAACAGGGAACTAGCTACTTCAAACTTAGTTATATAAAGTTTTCAAGGTTGGTCGGCCGAAAATGGATGTCAAAAATCATAACAAAGCATAGCAAAGGAGGGACCCTTTTGGATGACTATGAGGTCAAATCCCCAAGGAAAGGGCGTCCGTCCCGCGCCCACTAAATCAGCCACTACTTTTAACATATTTTATCCTTCCGCAATGTTCAGCGAGTTAATGTGTCTAATAATCCATTAAATTCGTTCGCGTTCAACTAATCATTTGATATTGATGAAGGCTAACAGCGCATAATTTATCTCCTAATTATGTAATATTTAATGTGAAGGATCAACATTAATTCAAAAATAAACAAGGATACCCGGTTACTGTGCATGTGGCTTACGACAATACAAAAAAAAACAATTCCCAAGTAGTGTCGTTTTTTTTGCGTGGTTTGATAAAAGAATCTGAATGAAAAACTGGAAATAAGGCGCATTCGACAGTCATAATAAAACAGGCAAGTTGAAAAACGTTTTTGCAGAAGAACGATTTAAGAAAGTTTTTTAGAAACAACAAAAATTTTGAACATTTGTTAAATTTTTTATTCGGCTTTCGAAGAAAGTGAAGGAAATATACAATCGGGGTAGTTTTTTCTATTCAGACCAATTTCTTAAAATTCTTTGCCTCCTCGGAGGATCGACCATTGTTCTGCATGCGCCCACTGAACTTGCACACCCATATTTTATCTTGCCACGAGTCTGTCTTAACTGCTCGTTATATGTTTTACACGTGGCGAATTATCCCACACAACAAAAAATCTTTCCAAACTCAATTGCGACAATAAGCTAAATGGTTGTTGAATTTTTCACAGAACTCAAATTTTTACACTTAAAATTTGATTTTATCAGCCTAAAATTCATAGTATGCCAATATTTAACTTAGCAAAAACTATTTGAGACCAATTAAAAGGCAGTCAGAACATTCCGGATTTTGCCCTGATACAAGCAGTTCTGTTCTCATTTTTTCTCCTTCTCCCCACAAGCTATTTGGAGCTACAAAAAATATATTTTGCATGTGCTAAAGTATTAAAAAGAGCAAGTTGCTTACCAGGTCAATATGAAAGGATTCAGTTGGCCACTTAAGCTTTGATAGAACAAAATATATCGCGGGTTAATTATCCCATTTTGAATTTTTATTGTCAAAATAATTCCAATATCAAATCATTACAATGTTGAAAAAATGATCATAGAAGAAACGTCGTTTTAAATCTGAGCCCCATGAAATTATATGGTAAAAATGTGTCAACATGCTTAGTCACCAATTCAAAAACTAGCTCAATACAAAAAACAAGACTGCTCGTATCATGGCAACCTTCTGAATTCTCCTATTGTCTTTTAAAATCAAGGTAGTAGTGTTTCCTCTTAAAAAAACGAGTTTCCTCTCCGCTATGTACAGAACAAAGTGATATATTTCGGACTTGACAAAGTATAAAGTAAACAAGAAACATGCCTCCTCTTAGTTTGGAACAATTTTTTTGACTTATTAAATCACCGCTTACGCGGCAATAGCCCGAAATATGTCGCGCGTTAATTGCCTCAAATTGGCCAACTTGATAATCTGAAAACAACCGTAACCTTACAAGAAACATCACAGATGAAGTTGTTTTAAAAGTCTGATATCAAGACACTACTAGCTGTCGGAGATGAAATAAAAAATTTGAGTCAAAAATAGCTGGTGAAAAAATCGGAATTGGAGATAAAACTATCCCTAGCACAAATATTTCGTTACCTTCATGGAAAGTTGGAACAAAAGTACAGTTTTAAAAAGCTTCTATCGTTATCATTCAATCAAATTACTCTGTAGTGACAAACTTTTTGGTAAAATAAATTTCCATAGAAGCAATGTTTGAATTTTTGAATCCAGATAAGCTTTCTTATAAGAATAGATTAATTCTCTTGATTGCAAGAACAATTCAAACATTTCAAATAGTCGAAACTTAATGTTGCTTTTTAATTCAGGAAAATAAACGGCTGAATTAAACTCCATTTGGTGCTCTATGGTTTGGTTCGGGGATCTATCTTTTAGGGATCCAGCCAGGGACGGATCTAGGAATTTCTCGAAGGGAGGAGGCGGATTTTCGAAAAATAAATTCGAAAATTTTGTCGATCTTTTTATGTCGACCAAATTTGTTTTCCGACCGGTTCTAGAGCATTATAAAGACCCTAACTTGACCAAAAAAATTTGCGCCGCATGAAATTTTTTATAGTCATTTTTGGTCACTTTTCGGAAAAAAGTGTTGGTCACTTTTGTATTTAAAGTGGACTAACCCTATAGAGAGTGGTCTGTACTCGAAGAACTTGAGAGATCCAGTGATGGTGAGGAGTCCACAGCAGGACACAATGAGATCGGAGAGTGCCAGAAGGATGCAGTAAATCTGAAAGTGTGTGTGGATGTTGACCGTGCGCATTATCCTCAGAAATTGCACTATCACGCCAATTGCGATGAGGGAAATAATAGCCGGAATCAATCTGAAACTGGCCAGTTGCTTCAGCCAAGAATCAAAAGTTAGCGTGGCTTGTTTGTCATAATCCACGTTAGTTATAACAGAATGATTGCCGGTTATCAAAGGGTTGTTTTCCATTGATTTGTCTGGGTCAGTATGGGCTGAAATTGAGTTGGGATCGGCATACTCTATTCTGTAAGACATCTTTTTACCGCTATTCTGGAACCAGAGAATTAGATAAATAAAAGTGAAAGGGAGATTTTCTTTGATGGATTTAAAGGAATTGAATTCGGAATTCGGTTCCTCTGAGAGACTTAAGTTGACTTTGACAACATACTTGTGCTATTATTTGTAATTTCAGTTTAAGCGAAGGTATGCTGCTAGTACACCAAAAGCAGCTGAAATGTTCAGATTTTTAATTCCTTTTTATTGTTAGGTCACTCCTCGGACCTAATTGTCATATAGGTAAAGCCAAAATGCATGACAAATTACAAAGATAAAAATTGTTTGTAATATAAACCAAATTGTTCTCCTCTTTTCGATGTTCAGGCAATAAAAGCCATGTCTCGGCTATTTAAATATTGATTTTAATCCTTGAAATCTGAAAACCGCTTTTTACTGACTGACGCCAAGAAAACCATTTGAGGAAATGAAAAAAAAAGAATGTTAATTTTCATTGGCGACCCACAACTCAAAAAATGGCAAATAACTTTCCAGCCATTGATATTTTTTCTTATTTTAATTTAAAACTGAAGCAAATATTCCACCTGAAAAAAAAGAGTGGTAAACTCAGCTTTTTTCGATTCATTAAAAAATGCTTTTCAGAAGGTGTGTCGTATGAAAAATTCTGATTGGTTGAAATTTTAACGGGAGATTTAGATTGTACCGCTTTGAAAGTGGGGATAACAATCAACATGCAAGGTATTTATGAGGGAAAACTAGTGCTCTGTGAAATTGGTCCCCCTAAAAGATTCAAATGGGGATAATATCAATCTGCTTTCAATTTAAAGTCTCCTCATTTATTTCGGATAGCGAACCCTGCAAACCTCAAAGCGATATTAAATGCGGTCTGCGGTTTTTGAGAATTATTGGGAAATGCTGAAAGTTAAGGTACTTTATCCCCTTGAGAACAAAAACAAATAAAACATCTCGAGTAGCAGATATTTCAGGGTAGCAAATTGATATTTGTTATTTGTGAAGAAAACACACGTAATTCAATATTAGGCCAAGGCGAGAGTCGCTTTAAAGTGCTCTGAGTAGAAATTGACGTCCTTGGACTTTGAATAATCTCGAGAGAGGAACGGAACAGGTAAATGTAGATTCCCTGCTGTTGGCTTAGATCGATGAATGCGAAATTGGATTGCTTGTCCCAAGACTCCTCAAAAGTAGACAGCTGATAGTACTTAGTTGCAATTTACATGAGCCTCCATTGAAACTTTTATTTTTATTCTTGGCGAGGGACACTGTCTTTTTCATAAAGTATCAATACAAAATTTAAAAAAGTATATTGCTTTTTGATAATTAGTATGGCTCGGGTTCATTAAGCAAAATGTTTTCTTGCAGATGAGCTGCGCCTCGGATGATCCATGCTCGTTGCTTACGGGAGAGGCAACATTGCCCGGCTCGAAAAAAAAAGAAACAACGCATCATAGCAAAAAGGTTTCAGTTTAAAGCGAGATAGTACATTGCTGGTCCGTACGTTAATGGTCTTTAGTTCACACAATGAAGACTTTTCAATCTTTGAATTTCGTAATTTCTCTCTGATATAGGACTGCCATAAAAATTCCTAGGAAATCTTGTCGGTGCTGATAAACAAAAAATCTAGATGTCAAAAATGAGTTTTGTCTGTTATAAATGTTATGCCATTCTAAACTCAAATGAAATCTCACTTTAAGCGAGCAAAAATACAATTCTTTTTATTGAAAAGATTAAAAAAACCCTGAGATGGTTCTTAATTGCAATCTTATTGACTTGTTTCGGAAAATTACACCGTCTGTTTGCCACGCTGTCTGTTTTTGTCCGGATAGGTTCGTGCAACTACCTATTTAACTCTTATCTTAATCCTGCTCTTATTTCTTTGTCTCAATAGATCTGAGGGAATACCGGAAGTGCGAGGTCATTCTGAGATCAACTCTACTCAATTTAATTTAATTGGTCTGGCTAGTGAAACTGAGCAATTTCACAATTAATGTCAACCCTCGTTTTTAAAATAATTTCTTTGAAAGAAAAATATAAAGAAAAGTGCGACTGGAAAACATTAAGCTGATGGCACAGCTATTACCAGTTAACGTGGCCAAAAGGACACCAAAAAATGTCCATATTTATTTAAGTTCCCAGTTTTTTCTTATCTCCGTTCGGTTGAAGATGTATGTTTGGTGCTTTTGAGTAGAGGTATCAAAAAAATTTTACATTATTTTCAAATAAATGAAAGTTCAAAAACTTTCTAGAGTAGCCTCTGTCCTCGATGATCCTCATTTTTCCAAAAAAAAAGAAACACATCCCTGAAATTTTTTTCATAGCAGTTTTTTTTAGTTTTATCGAATATACTTTCAAAATCTTATTGGGTTCGGACTCTTGTATAATTTGAATTATTCGTTTTTTTTCATGCTACGCGCTTTGCTTGTCTAATCAAAAACAAGGCTGCTCGTATCAGGGCAAAACTTTAACTAATTTGACTCCCCTTAAAATCCAAGGATCAGATCATCCTGTTAAGGAAAAAGTGAAAACTGACAAAAAAATATCAAAAATGAGAATAAAATTTGCTGCCACAAGCTGTTTAAGCTGTTTAAACCATCATAGCAAAAATGTTTCAGTTTAAAGCGAGATAGTACGTTGCTGGTCCGTACGTTAATGGTCTTTAGTTCACACAATGAAGCCTTTTCAATTGTTGAATTTCGTAATTTCTCTCTGATATAGGACTGCTATAAAAATTCCTAGGAAAGCTTGTCGGTGCTGATAAACAAAAAATCTAGATGTCAAAAATGAGTTTCGTCTGTTATAAATGTTATGCCAATCTAAACTCAAATGAAAACTCACTTTAAGCGAGCAAAAATACAATTATTTTTATTGAAAAGATTAAAAAAACCCTGAGATGGTTCTTAATTGCAATCTTATTGACTTGTTTTGGAAAAATTACACCGTCTGTTTGCCACGCTGTCTGTTTTCGTCCGGATAGGTTCGTGCAACTACCTATTTAACTCTTATCTTAATCCTGCTCTTATTTCTTTGTCTCAGTAGATCTGAGGGAATACCGGAAGTGCGAGGTCATTCTGAGATCAACTCTACTCAATTTAATTTAATTGGCCTGGCTAGTGAAACTGAGCAATTTCACAATTAATGTCAACCCTCGTTTTTAAAAAAAATTTTTTGAAAAAAAATATAAAGAAAAGTGCGACTGGAAAACATTAGGCTGATGGCACAGCTATTACCAGTTAACGTGGCCAAAAGGACACCAAAAATGTCCTTATTTATTTAAGTTCCCAATTTTTTCTTACCTCCGTTTGGTTGAAGATGTATGTTTGGTGCTTTTGAGTAGAGGTATCAAAAAAAATTGAAATTATTTTCAAATAAATGAAAATTCAAAAACATTCTAGAGTAGCCTCTGTCCTCGATGATCCCCATTTTTCCAAAAAAAAAGAAACACATCCCTGAAATTTTCTACATAGCAGTTTTTTTAGTTTTATCGAATATACTTTCAAAATCTTATTGGGTTCGGACTCTTGTGTAATTTGAATTATTCGTTTTTTTCATGCTACGCGCTTTGCTTGTCTAATCAAAAACAAGGCTGCTCGTATCAGGGCAAAACTTTAACTTTTTTGACTCCCCTTAAAATCCAAGGATTATATCATCCTGTTAAGAAAAAAGTGAAAACTGACAAAAAAATATCAAAAATGAGAATAAAATTTGCTGCCACAAGCTGTTTAATGGACAAAAATATGTATTTAGCGTTTAGCAACGCACTAATGACGGCAAACAGTTTGACTCAAATCAAGTTGTATCGAATTCTGAGCCGGAATAATTCGCAGCTCACTCGTTAACCGAGCAGTATATATCGCACAATCAGTGCTCCATTAGCCTAAATAGCATTTTTTTTAAAAATATGATCACAGCTAAGAACATCTTCTTAAAATTAGGTTCAGGGCGTCCATTTTTTTTTCAGGTTTTATGAAAACCACCCAAAGCTCAAATATTCATACTTCTTGTGAAAGCCGGAACAAATAACACGACTACTCTTACCAAGGTGAAGCACTGAGTGTACCGACCACCCTCTAACGTTGCTTAAATCTGTTTTAAAAAAAACATCTGCTAACCTATTAAAACGAGCAAATTGTTTGCCTGAATTCAATTTGGAATTTCTTAATTTGTCGCATACGCCTTAATATGAAAAACATATTGCATGTTGATTATCCCAATCTAAATTTTAAACGTTAATTATAGTCGTTATAGTTCTAACTTATGGTTCTGCAAAAATGAAGCTAGGCAAAATGTTACTTTTAACAAAATCTTTTAGATGGTATGAAAAAATCTGTCAAAATTGCTTAGTTACCAAGTCAAAAAGTTGGAGCCTTAATTTAGAGCCATGGGCATCCATAAAATTTTCCGGCGAAAACGGATAGTTAAGAATTCGAATAATGCTTGAAGAAAAAATCACCCGAGCATAAATACTCCGTCACCTTCTCCGAAAATCGAAACAATTACCAACTTCTCTATAGATGTCTGATTCCAATTAAGTTTTGCTTCTGGACACAAAAGTTCAAATTAGTGATTACGCGATAAAAGTGACGTCGGTGATGTGGACAAAACGAAAAAATTGAACTTGTTTAAAATAGTCATGATGAAAAAACGATTGGAGAGGAAAATTATTATCCCTTGACAATTTTTAGCTTTTCCTTTCTCAGTCATTTTCTTTTTGAAAGCTTTTGCGAAATCCTTTAAGCGGCATCTTTTACTTCTGCCCTCAAAACTCGCAAATCATTATTAAGAAAGTAATGAAACTGCTCATATTACGCAGAATCCCTGAATGCCCTAATTTCAATTTAAAGCTTCTAGTATACTTGAGAATCTCTTACGCCAATACTCGTTATTGATAGCTGTATTGAGAATTGACAGAAATCATGTTTCCTATTTTTAAATGCTGATAACGTGCTTTTCATCGCTTTGTTTCACAACCTATGATGACACAGCTATGGTAGTTTGAAAAACCTATGGCCCAGCCTCGATTCATCGCCATTTTAATCCGCGCTATTTTAAGAATTCTAAGTGCAGGTGAATTGGAGTTTGATATAATATAATATGTCTTTCAGTCATTACCAGACCAAGGTGGATTTAGGTTTTTCGTGAGGCGTGGGGTGAGGAGGTTTTTCAAAACTCAGACCGATAGCAGAAATAAGTACCACCATAAGGTGACCGTTTGGGTGGTGAGCGGGTTGGATCCCTAAAGAGAAAAAGCCCAACCCCCTCCTAAATCCGCCCCGGAAATGTTTACGATTTTGAAAAAATGTAGAAAAATGCTCATTGTGTTGAATAAGCTCATTGAAAATTTTGTTTCGACTTTCGTAGTAATTAGGCTCGAGTGTTCCCTTTCTTATTCAGACCAATTTCGACTTTTTGTTTAATCGGATTATTCGGAGAAAAATGCAAAAGTGAGTAACCATAATAGCTAAATTAACGTAAATCGTGGTAGAACAAGACTGCTCGTATATCAGGGCAAATCCTTGAATGTTCCGACATGGCCTTAATTCATATCAATTACTTTTTGGAAAAAGAAAATATT